TAGGATACTGCGCTCCATTCTGGCACCCCCAGTACAGCACTGATTTTGATAAATCAGAGTGAGTTCATCGGTGGGCCACTGAGATGGTCAGAGCCTGGAGCACCTGCCCTGTGAGGAGAGGCTGAGGGAACTCGGCTAGTTCAGTCTACAGAAGAGACAATTTCAGAGGGACCAGAGAAACAGCGTGAGGGTCTTGACTGAGGTATATGCAGAACAAGAAGACTTAATGACACAAACTGAAACAGGGGAGGTTTCTATGAGACAGGAGATTAAAAAACATCACTATGAGGACAATTAAGCAGAACAGGTTGTCCAGAGTGGTTGTGCAGTCTCCATCCCTGGAGGTTTCAAGATCTGACAGGACAAAGCCCAGAGCAACCTTGTCTGATCTCAGAGCTGACCCTGCTGTGAGCAGGGTCCTGGATGGATGACCTCCTCTGAGGTTCCTTCCAACCTGAACGACTCTCTGATCCCAGCGAAGCAAATACTCTGTTCAAGAGCTCCCAGGCTCTCAAAAGTTTCTGCTAAGAATACCTGGTGAAGTCAGATGACTAAAAGCAACTCTTCTTCTTAGTGCCAGTGTGAGAGTTTGCAAGTCTCCTGTGGGTTACTTCCCACACCAAACAGAGATGAACTGAAAACTCATTGTAACTGGACAGAAAAATGCACTCTAAAAATATTAACTCTGGAAATCTGTCAAACATCAAATGAAATACTAGCAGTCTGTTAATACACAGGAGATGATTTTACTACTAGAAAATTAACTACAGGATCAATTTTGATACCGAATGATATTTAGAAGCCTGTAACTATTTCCTTAAATAAAAGACCATGAATCATCTTGGATGAGGTACCACACAAATTCAAATGTCATTCCTGCAAATTAATGACCATGATTAAACAGATATGACTCTGTTGATTTCAAAATCTCATTTCAGTAGAGCTTATACCAGCTAAGTTTCGTCCTAGGATTCCAATTATGCTCGATAAATTATGGGGCATAAACCAACCCACATACTTACCACCCACTGAAAAATGCAAAAATCCGAAGAACAGACTGTTGTATGTATTTACTTGCATTAAACACCAGATGAAAATCCAACCAAGATATCTTACCATTCAGTAGCTATCACGGCTACTTAGCCCTTACACATCATAAAATAAACACCTTAATATAAACTACAGCAACTTCTCCATCTTACATGTATACACCTAACACTTTCTTGGATTTTCTCCCTGAAAAATTGTAGAATCCTTTTCTTCCCATGCAACTTTTTTCAATGACAAAACTGATTTCCAGATTTTTCATTGTGGTTAGGTAACATCCTACAACTCTCTCATGTTGATATTCTCTAATTTGAGCACTTCTCCAATTCACCTGCTTGGCTGTGATCCGCAAGCTCTTGGGATCTCTGCAAGAGATCCAAGATTCTAGTAGCTCCTGTTCAGCCACAGAACAACAGAAGGAAAGGCCTTCATAAAGCTCACTAGATACTGCAGCAAGTTTGTGACAAATTCCAGCATTCCTCCTATGTACTGGCTAAGGAGCTTCGATTTCGTAATTGTAATGCACCAAAAATATTTGTTAGTACTCAGTCAGGTTTCTGAAAAGAAATGGAGGATGAGATTTGGCAAAGTCACATTTATTAACTAAGGAAATTGTGAAGAAGATGTGCTTACATACATGCAGGTTATGCTACAGAGTCCATTAATGTATATACCTTGACAGAGCATGTAAATAGATGTACACAAAACTAAGAGATGTGTGGATTGAGGGAAACAAGCTGAACATAAAACTGCAAAATGTTTTCAGAATAGTTTCATCTAAGATACCACTTGCCTTTTGTTAGTTATGGATCACGTCTCTGGGAAGAGAGTATTATATAAGTCCAGAGTAAACGCATCCAACTAGGACAAAATGCATTGTGCACACTACTGCACAAAATGAAAACAGAATTAGCTAGTTCTCATAAGCAGCAATTCCACAGAATTTGCAGCAGCCACAGATGAGGTTGGTAAGCAAGGATCTTAAAAATTACTAATTTTCAACGGCAGACTCAAACCCAGCATTAAAACTTAATGGAAATGTCAACTTTGGCCTAAGTAGCAATGCAAGGCTAAAAAGTTTACACACCTACAATGCGTTCCTATAGGATGAGGAGCAATTTGATTCCAATCCAGTGAAGTACTCCCGTTCATGCTCAACTTCAAATGCATGGGCAATTCCCCTGCAGATGATGGAGCTACTTATATACCTTATGTTAAATATGCCCTTAAGTGCTTTACTGGGTTAGGGCCAGAAAGCTCAGCACCTTACAGGAATGACTTTAGAGTAGAATATACAGCAGGGAATTCAAGACCACAAATACCTCGGGCTAAGTCCCTCTTGCAGTGTACTATCGAGAAGCACAGTGCCAACACAATGCAAATACAAGCAGCTGTGTCAGTGCAGACAGGTAAGAGGCATGTCTTGCCTCAAGGTAATCAGAATAATTACAGAAATTTGAAGAATGACAAGATCAGAAGGAAAACAAGCTGCCACTACTCCCTAACATATACTCTAACTATAAATTGTGTTCCTGCAGTGAAAAAAAATTTGTATTTTCAATTCCTACATAAGCTGACAGCCTGTGCCCGTGATCATGATCAGTGTAGCTCACACCCTGCCTGAGCTCCAGAATTCAAGACATTCAGCATGGTCCACCCGCCACAAACACTGCACAGGTCTTGCACTCCAGTCAATCATAACGTTGCAATGCATTCATTTGCTCCGTACCAACACTGTCTTAATTTAAAACACTGGGCTTTAAAGCACATGTTAAGTACTGTTGCTTGCTGCCATTCCTGCACATTGTACTACAAGGTACTCGTGACGGCTCCGTGCTACGAGGCACTCTTTTCTGGCTAGAGCCACTGCTGGCTATTGCATGCACTTCTACAAGCAGCACACTGACAGATGTGCTGCGCACCATCTCCCTGCCAGTTCTGACGCTTGCGAGCTTCTGAGTCCAAGAAGAGCATGTTCCACGTTTGCAGGGACTCCCATGACTTGGTGAGAGACAGTAGAAGTATATGGACTAAAACAACACAGAAGCAGCAGCATATGGGCCTGTCATCTCCAAACCTACTCTGCAATAGCCTAGCCTAACCTTCTGTAGTATGAAAAACATATTAAAGCTGAACTACATGCATTTATTTCTATGTTTATACACCATAAGCACATATAATTAGCTTAAAAAGGGAGCATAATTAGCCATGTCATGTTATAAGTCATATTACTACACAACACCCAGATGTCCTGCTATCTTACAAAATATTAAAATACCACTTTCCTGTCAGTGGTAAACTGCATTTACTTTGTGCCAAAATATCATGATTACTAACATCACCATAGTTAGGGACATAATGTTAAGCAAACAATCCTTGTAATAATTTTTAAAGTTGGGATTCCTCAGCACTGTACCAAATATAATCCACATTTCCAGGAGGGATGAGCCTTCTGGCACATAAAGTAACTGTGGAGTCAAAGGAATCTGATCCAAATCAGACCAACCCTTAAACATGTGGATTATTAATTTTTCATATTCAGGCACTGGGAGGCAATGAGGACGGGGGATTGAGAGGAACAGACAGAAATACCAGCACCTTACGTGCCTTATCTTACCCTATGAAATCCATGAGACTTTTCTGGAATTTATACTACGGGATTTTGGGAAGTGTTTATAAAGGATCTCCTGCCCAGGGAGGTTTTGGGTTTTTTTTGCTTTGCAGGCTCAGAAAGCATCTCATGATGAAACACCACCAGTAATCAGGAACAAGGAATACAAATTAAAAATCCAACTAGCAAATAGATATTTTGGGATGCGAACGAATCTTCAAATTCATTCAGCAAGTTTCCCTTGTGAGAGCACAGAAATCCTGCAGCAAGCTATAAACTGGCACTGGAAATCAAAGGATTGGCTCCGGCTCTGTTGTGAGAATTTCACTATTTACTTCATAACAGTTGTTTCACCCACATGTGGGTTGTCATTCATAATTACATCCTCTGACACTGGCAATAGACACAGCTCAGCAGGGACACGAGCAGACTGAATCACACATGCCCTCCGGTAGTTTGTGTTTGGAAGAATCTCAGCACTGCGCTCTGCTATAGGCTAGATTTGGGAAGCCAAGGAGCGACAGTAAATCTACTGCACTTCTTTCAAGGAGTTGCCAACAAACTCCCATTGTAACATAGCAAGGGTTCAGGGGCTAAGCTGCAAAGTCCCTGGACAGTGGGGGAGCTGCAAAAGGCCAGGGCTTGCTTTACGATGGCTTGCTTGATCCCCTACCGTTGTCCCCAATACTTTTCAGCATTGATTCTTTTGCCACAACTCTGAAAAGACTTGTGAGTGTGACTTAAAAGCATGGACAGGCCTTGCAAAAGCACCTTCTTCTCCTGAATTACATTTTTAGCTTCTTGAATTTCATTTTTAGTTCATTTCTTTACTAGCTACCAAGGCCACAAAAAAGCTGGTAGCCTTGCCCATCCTGCCCTCCATGTGCACAGCTCATTCTCAAAAGGAGGAAGGAGCTGAAGAGAGAGTGTTGCAGAAGTAGGTGACCAGGGGATCTCCATGGGATACCAGGGCCTGTGAAAATGTAACCACTGCAACAACAAAGACATACCGCCAATGGCTGGCTTGCGCATACCGGGTTTGGGGGGATGGCTGTGAGCCCTCTCGAGCAAGGCCAGTCCTGAGAGGTTTGGGAAACCACCAAACAAGCAACCGTAAATAACTAGTGAGCAATGTGGATAACAACGCAGACAGCCCAGTGCACAGGAGTCAGTTTGATGGGCTTTTTTTCATTTCTGATGTAGCTGCAATGACATGAGATGTGAATGCACAGAATAAGGTAGGAGATGCTTTATCTAGGCTGTACAGAAAATACAATGAAGTACAACTAATCCTTGGCAGAAAAGAGTTCACTGAGTCAGGAGCCCAAGACTCAGGACTGACCCAGATGCCCTCAGGTGTTCCCTCAGACACCTCTTTCCCGAGATGTAGCTCGGAAGGACACTCCAGGATCTGGTAAGCAATAAGATTTTTAGTAACAGAAAGTGCTGCAGAAATAATTAGGACTGATGGACCCAGGGCTGATGCACAAAGCCTGGTGTGGCTCTGAAGTTCCTCGCGAACTTCATGTGCCTTCAGGTCAGGGACACCCCATAAGTCATGCACAGCGACACCAGCCACAACAACGTCAACAACGGTGTGCAGGATGAAAGCTTAAGCAAAACGATGCCCAGACTTACACAGCTCTTCCCGTTCATGATGAAGTGTGTGGATGCACAGGCTTGCTCCTTCACTTCCTCCATCCCAAAGATGCAGACAGCAGTGGCGTTCCAGACCTTGGCGCCATGGCTGTGGTGGAAAACACCCACCCACCAGCCCCGCTCGCCCTGGCGGACAAGGCTGGAGGAAACGATGAGGCTCCTGCACCCACAGTCCAAATACACGTGCCCTTGCAAAGTAAGGCCACCTTCTGAGGGGCGCAGCTGGCGCAGGACAGCCATGCTTGGTGGCTCCATGTCCTTGTCCAACCTGGCCTTCAAT